AGTTTTTGCCTTTAAATATACAAATCTAACTCAACCTGATATTTGCTAATTTAAAAGTTTGAAAACCACTCCCACATTCAGGCAAACCAAGCCACTTCTTTCCTCTATATATTCTTCCCCATCTCTGCTTTGCTCAAGCTTTCTACCTATTCTTAGAATTCTGAATACCACCCTCTCTTCTTACCTGCCTCTTACTCTCAAGTCTGGTCTCTGCTTGTCTAAATCCTATTCATTTCAAATACCATTCCTTCCATGAAACTTTTCCTGAATCCTCAGCCAGAAGAGAAGGTCTGTCTTGCCTTTGAACTACTATGGCCTTCCTCTGGTTTCTTGTAGCACATAGTTTCTATTTTAGTTCTGCTATCATTTACATACATAGCTTGCTGTCTCTACTAACCGGAAAATCCAAAAAAGGCAGGGTCATGTTATCTCAATCTTGGTATCTTCCACAGGATCTAACAAATCGTTGAAGCTATTTTTTTCCCCCCTTGGCCGCGCAGCTTGTGGGATCTTAGGTCCCCAACCTGGGATGGAACCTGTGCCCCCTGCAGTGGAAGTACAGAGTCCTAACCACTGGACTGCCAGGGAATTCCCTGTTGGAGCTGTTAATTATGCCTACTGTGTGCCAGGCCCTTTGTTGGACATCCAAAATGCAGAGGTCAATAGATGACACAGGCTCTGCTCTCAGGAGCTAAGTCTGCTGAGCAGGACAGACTAGTAAAGGGACTTGTCTAATACAGTTTGGCAAAGGCTACCAAAAAGATCCACTGAGGCTGCTGTGAGAGCACAGGCCCAAGGTCACAGCTTCTGGCAACATTTAAGCTGTTTTGTGGAATGAACAGAAGTCTTTCCAGACGAAAGGGAAAAGAAAATTCCAGGCAGAAGGAACATGAGGTTGAAAGGCCAGGAGGTGTGGGGATGGTGTTCTAGGCAACAGAGTTGTGTGGCTAGAGAAGAAGTGTGTAGGGCAGGGAAGAATTGGTGAAGAGAGAGAGGCAGGGGCCATCATGCAGCTATGAGCCCTTGAAGGGTTTTATGAAGGGAAGTTATAGTGTTAGAACTTTGAAAGGAGGAACAGTGATCAAAAGATTGTAGGAAGAAGGTCTCGGCTCTGAACACCCAATCTTCTGATATCAGTTGCTGTAGCACCAGCAGGGGAAGAGGCTCAGGTGTTTGGATACCGGGTGCAGGTGAGGCTGAGACAATGCCTTTTGGAGGAATGGACCTGGGACTCCCAGTAGCCGTCTCCTGGGATATTTCTGGGAGGCACCAAGATAAATACAATGCTGTGTGACATCGTAGGTTTTCAAAAGTTAGTTTTAAAACAAAATGAAGCAGTAAGAAATTGAGTTATATACTGTAAGTGCTGTAGGAATTCGGATAAGAAGACAACCACTGAAAGCTGGCGCAGTCACAGCTGGGGAGGTAAGGCTTGAGCTGTCATTGAACCTTGGAGAGAAGCTGGATGGACAGAGACGGACAGGAGTCCCTCCGAGCAAGGGAAGCAAGCTGAAAGAAGATGTAGAGGAAGCAGTGGGTATGGTCTGGCCTGGGTAGGGGAAGAGAGAGGCGTAGTGGCAGTACAGCTGGGGACAGAGGCTGGGCCAAAAGTCCTGAAAGGCAGACGCTTCTCTCTTGGAACATTAGGAAAAAGCTATTGATATGATGAGAGTGGCCTAGCAAGATTAATTGGGTGGTTATGTATATATGGTTTGGGGGGTGGGAGGGAGAGAGCCTGTCACAGGACTTTGCCTGAGGTAATAAGGTTTTATACTCTAAGAATAAGATAAAAGAAGGACCAGTGGGAGTAACATTTTTTCTAGCCAGTGATCCACAGGGTCTGGGGTGGGGATGGGGGAGCAGTGGGGTGAGTCAGAGGTTTGAGTCTTGGCAACTAGGAGGATTGGGGTAGCCTTGAGAATCATAGTCAGTTGGGAAGAGGGGCTGGTATATGGGATTAGAAGAAAAGACTTTTGTTTTTAAAATTTAAGGCATCACATGGGACTCAGTGCATGTAAGAATTTTATGGGCAGTTGGCAGTTGGAGCTGTGAGGCCTCTGACTACTTGTTATGTTTTGAAAATCAGTACAGTTGGGGCAGGAGCCAGACTGCAAGGAATAAAGGAAGATGGTGAAGAAGTGAAGGTTTTTTAGGGGGCAGCTACTTATTTGAGAAGTTGGATGAAAGGAAGGGAAATACGTAGTAGTTACAAGAGTCCTTAAGGAAGGGCCATAAAAGCCTGCAGGTTGATTTCTTAAAAATTCTTAAGTATACGGTCACTGAGATTATATCATATTCATTCACTTATTCCATCATTAGTTCATTCATTCATTCGCCACGGCACTCTGGCTGCTTCTCCCCTTTACTTCAGTCTGGGCTTAGTGCCAGAGCAATACCGTAACAGTGAGCACTGGTGTAGCAATAACAGGACTTGGGCTGCGGACACCTGGAATAATAAGTCGCAGTCTTTTCTTCCCTTAATTGGAGCTGGAGTTAAAGTTTCTTTCCTTCCTTCCCATTGGAAGGTTGCTTGTCTAGTGTCAGTGTGATTCTAGCTATGTGCTGCTGGATATCAATGCTCTTAAGTTTCAAGAACCTTTTTAAACAATATGTTGTTTTTTTGTGGTCACAACAGGTAGAGTGGAAACCCCAGCTACTAGAGGTCCCACCCCAAACTCGGTTTGATTACACAGTCACCAATCTAGCTGGTGGCCCGAAACCACATTCTCCTTTCGACTCTCAGTACCACGAGACCACGCTGAAGGTGAGCGATGCTTCCCTGCTCTGGGAAGCCGCCTGCAGAGCTGTGATGGTCTGCTCTGGCCTGAGGTTAGCAGGCCACCAGGTGTTTTCATTCTCCTCTCCTTCCTCCCCCACCTCAGGGGGGCATGTTTGCCGGACAGCTGACCAAGGTGGGCATGCAGCAGATGTTTGCCCTGGGAGAGAGGCTGAGGAAGAACTACGTGGAGGACATCCCCTTTCTTTCGCCAACCTTCAACCCACTGGAGGTCTTGTGAGTCACTTGAAAAAGGGATGTTGCACCCAATGTAAGGTCCTGAGCGTGAGAAAACCTGCCCTGATGCCCCAGGTGGTTCCCACTCTCATCCAAGGTAGTCTGGGGGGATGTGTGGTCGATCTGGCTGTGACATCTGTCATCCCATTGATCGCCAGGGTTTGATTCTGCTGACCTGGCTGGCTAGGCGGGTGTCCCCTTCCTCTCCCACCTCTCCATGTGTGTCCCTCCCGAAGCTGCACACTCGGTCGAAGAGGACGACCTTCCCCGATAGAGGAGGACCATTCTCCCGGTCAAGGGTAGACGAGAAGCTGCTCTCCCCTGTTAGAACGTCCAAGGTAGTCTGGGAGCAGTTACCCTAGTACAGTAGGATTCAGTGAACAAGTGGTCACCGGAGGTCACATTCATTGGCCTTCAGGTCCCTTGGGCAGCCATCCCACAGAGAGATAAAGGATACTTCCCTGCCCTATAGCTCCCCTTATGTAGTCTTGAAAGCCTCCCAGCTGCTCTGTGGAATAAGGTGGAGTGTACATATGAATCTTCCTTTTATGAGTTAATCTACCTTTTTGGTTTTTTTCCCAGCATTCGTTCCACTAACATATATCGGAATCTGGAGTCTACCCGGTGTTTGCTGGCTGGGCTTTTCCAATGTCAGAAAGAAGGTTTGAGTTTGGGCTCTACGAGTCAGCCCCTGTCCCTGAGGAGCCTTTTCTTCTCACTTCCAAAGTCCCGCTCTCTCTTTCTTGGTATCTGTCCCCTTGGTCTCTCTCCTCCTGCTCAGGTAGCTTCCATGGTGTACCTACTCCTCTGGCAGGCCCCTCCCTGTCTGGCCTGCTGCTGCCCTTGTCAGCCTGACCTGCACACCTGCAGCAATGCGTCAGCTGCTCTGATGCGCCTCTGGCTCCTGACTTTTTCTCTCAAGCATCTACACAAGCTGCATGAGGCAGCCCCAGCCAGGTCTTGTGAACAGTACTGGGGCCTTTTTGTTTAGTAGAGACGCTGCTGAAAAGGAAGGAGGGCAGGAGGGACACTTTGCTGGGACCTGGGTCTGCTGCTACTGCCCTGATCTTGGTGATAATCCACAGCATGACCCAGATGGTATTAACAGTATTCCGTACCGCCTTTCCTAGTTAAGAAAATCTGTCGAGTTTGGGTTTTGACCTGTTCAGCCAGTGAATGAGCACAGCTAGCAGTTCTCAACCTTTTCACCACCAAGAACTACATTTAGTATTTTCCTTTATGGATCTCATGTGTTGAGGCCCTTTGACTATCAAATGAAGCCATATCTTGTCATTTGTAATTGGTTGAAATTTACATTTAACTGCTGGTCTGAGTTTCAGATCATCATGACCTCACCAATATTAAAATACCAAAACGATGCCATAAGGCAGAGGTTCTTGTTATTTTCTTTAGCTTCTGTAGCAGTATCTCAAATAGAGATAAAACTTCCATCAGGCTTTTAAAAAGTGTGTAAAATACAGAACCTCCAGGCCAAAGGAGGCTGGCCTTGCCCCCAGCTGGCTTGGGTACTGCTGCTAATTCTGGCTGAAGCTGGCTGAACACAAACAGCAAGCCTAAGTAACATAAAGCAAACAGGATGGGCTGCTCCTTACCTCTTGGGAGCCCCTGAGTTTAGGAATAATCCGTAGTGCCTGGCCTTCTGAAAGCTGTTCACTTGCTCAGCTTCTAAAAGGCAAATGTCCTCTCCTCAGAACCACCTAAAGTGTAACTGAGGTAGGAAAGGGGTTTCTTGGTGCAAGGAAGGAAGTGGTATCATCACCAGCCTCTGGTGTGTCTGCCTGGGTAGCCGCTCCCTGCACTGGACCCAGACATCCTCACAGTCCAGTTTGACTCCTGTCACAGCTACTTCCATGCCTTGGCCAGTATCAAGGGATTTGAATAGACCTAAGAACCCCACAAGGTGCTACCATTGGTGGAAGTGGTGCAACTTTGGGATATTGTTTCAAGAGTAAAATCCTAGAGAAGGCCCAGAAGGTTTTGAGTAAACTACAGAGAATCAGGCTGGTGGGGGGAAGCTGGAAGGTGTTGGTCTGCACCGTTTTGTCTTTCATTCATTCAATGCGTATCTGAGTGCCAACTCAAATGTGCCTTACTTATCATAAACTGTAGGTCCATTATCCAGACACTAATGTCGGGTACCAGGTAGGAATTATCATGTGTTAATTAGAGGTTTAAATCATAGTTACTATTATTCTCACATTTAAAGGACTTACTATACATCAGATATTGTTCTAAGAGCTTTGCGGATATTAACTTGTTTAATTCTTGTGATAACCCTGTGAGGTAGGTAACATTATCCCCATTTTACAGATAAGAGAACTAAGGCACAGAGAGGCTAAATGACTATCTGAGGAACAGATAGTAAGCTGGTAAATGGAGGAGCTGGGATTTAAACGCTGGTAAATGGAGGTAAATGGAGGAGCTGGGATTTAAACGCTGGCAGTCTGGCTTCACAATCCATACTCTTCGCTCTTGTGCTCTCCTGCTTCTCAGAAAACATGTATATCTGGAGAGGGCCTCTGATCATTTGGTCTATTCTTTTTTACAACGTTTCCTGTGGAACCCCAGGATTCTTCAGAGGGGTCAGAAACTACAGAAAAGGAGGGGGTTGGGGCATGCAGGTAGACTATACTTTGGACCCCTACCTTGAAGCCATCAGCACCTTTTCTTTTATTACCTTATCTAATAGTGGGAGAAAAAAGCTTCCACTGCTTTAGAAACAATTGAAAATTGCTGATACTAGTCTCATCCCTTCAATTTACACATGAGCCCCAGAGAAGGGAAGTGACTTCCCAGGGCCATCCTACTGGTTCGTTATAGATTCAGGCCTAAACTCATGACTTTCAGTCTGATTTGCTTTTTCTGTCCAGACCAACAAAGTGTGTCTGAATACTGGTATTCTACTCAAGTCACCATAGGCTACTGTTAAATACTGAGGTTTTGGCTATCAATAATTTGTTCGGAAATAATAGCTCTTTGGGGTTTAGATTCACCTAATCACTCCATGGATTGACCTCAGTGAATTCCAAAAAGCTTCTCTGCCATCAGAGAAGGTGAGGCTTGAGCTGGGTAGAACAGGGCGCTACCACAGGCCATTGCCATCTCTGGCACAGAGCAAAGCATGGGAAGGTGTTAGAGCACTTTTCTTGGGCATCGTTGGACGGGACAAGGGTACTCGTGAGCTCTGGACAGGAGCAAGCTGCTGCGAGGTCTGTAGGAAACACTGTAGTCTAGTCTTTGGTTCCTGGTAGTTCATCTGGAAGCCTGGGTTTTCTTTTGGGTAAGGCCATAGGGTCTGAGAGAATTTGTGACCCTGTGGCCACCCTTCTCAGATTGTCATGTCAGTCACCATATTGGCCTATAGGATCGGACTTTGGGAAGCAAGAATGTCACCTAGTTCTGATAAAGTGAGGGAGGACGCATTCTTTATTAGAATCCCCAGGTACTGGTGGTACCTCGAGGCGACGTTTTTTGGACTGGGCCATGGACGTGCCAGTCTGATCGGCACCTGTACCTGCTCTCGGCTATAGGTGGCCCAGCAGGAGAGGTGCTGAACAAAGCAAGGCTGCTACTGCTTTCTCCATTGCTCAGACCGCAGCAGAGCTCCTGTTGGCAAGGCCAGGGCATGTTGAAGGCATTCACTGTCCTTAAGGGGATGATCTGCCTCTGGGAGCAGCTCCGTCTGTATAGACAGAGAGAAGAAGAAGGGGGTGGAGCTGCTGGGAAGAACAAGCTGAAGCCTCTTCCCACCTGTGCTTCCCACATTCCTTCCAGGACCCATCATCATCCACACTGATGAAGCAAGCTCTGAAGTCTTGTACCCCAACTACCAAAACTGCCAGAGGCTCCGGGAAAGAACCAGGTAACTGCCCCTGATTCTTGCTCACCAGGGGTGAACAGGCAGTGTTTTACCGCCTTAGCTGGCAGGCGCTCCCTGAACTGAGGGCCTGCCCAGGCTGGCCTTGCTGGTGGATAAGGAATGAAAGAGATTGCATTAAGCTCAGGTCTGCCATCAACTGTCCAGGAAGTGAGGCAGCTCTTACTCACAGTGACAGGCTAATAGTGAAGGTACAGGATGCCTGGGGAGAGCCACGCGCTGGGCTGGAAAGATGGTGTATACAGCCATGAGTGGGGCTTTGCCGTTTGCCAAGCATTATCCTCTCTTCAATCCTTCAATGCTCTCAGATGGGGCAGATGAAGAACCTTACAGAAAAGATGATTAAATAAAGATGAGTAAGTCAGTCATCAAACTGCAAATCCAGATGGACGAGCAGAAGAAGACACAGCTTCCCTTTTTCTTACCAACGTTCTGCCGTGTAGGATAGATTGGTTTGGGCTGATGGCACTTTGCAGTTTTCAGGTATTTCTGGTCTGCACTAAAACTATGTAGTATGTGTTCCCCCAGAAGAAGGAGAATGCTGTTTTCAAGCAGACCTGGCCATGCTTGCATTGTTTTTGATAATGCTAGAGTGGGATTTGGAAAATCCAGGTTATTATTCTAGTCCTGGTACATACTAACTTCCTTTTACAAGTCATTTGACCTCATAGAGTCTTAGTTTATTCATCTATACCATGGCAATAATACTAGCTAACCCCAGTGAGTCGTCGTTGAAGGTTAAATGAGATCCCAAATGAAGAATGAGATATACTTTGTCAACTGTTAATCACTATACAGTATGATGAAATATAAGGAGTAACTTTTTATTCTTTGGCAGAGGCCGGAGGCAGGCTGCTTCTTTGCAGCCAGGGATCTCAGAGGATTTGAAGAAGGTGAAGGAAGGGATGGGCATTGCCAGTAGCGATGGAGTGGACTTCCTCATCCTCCTGGACAACATAGCTGCTGAGCAGGTGGGCTGGCTGTCCTCCTCGGGCCCTGGGGGTGGGGGACCCTGGGGGAGGCTTGGTGGGCTGCCTTCTGAGTTAGAACTGGGTGGAGAGCTCCTGGCTTGGAGGCAGCTGTGATAGGACTTGCAGACAGAATGGACGTGGGAACTGAGGGATAGGGAACAATCAAGGAGGACCCCTTACTGGGTTGGGGGCCCAGACATTTAACTCTCAACCAGAGTTTCTTAAAGCACATTCACCAGAATGCTCATGATGTGAGTGTGTATTACGTGGGCAGGCAGGGGTGGGGTGGGTGATGGTAGGGAGAGATTATTGTCTAAAAATTTTGGAGTCCCTCTTTATTGTTGGAGAGTCTATACACACGTCAGCATGTTAAAGAATCTGAGAAGCCTGTAGTAAAGAAAGTTGGTTCATCCTTAAGTCTGTTTTTCTCAAACTTGTTTAGCCATAGAATCTTTCTTATCTAATAAATACTGAAGACCGCACAATAGGAAATGCTGTCCTAGATTCAAAAGTCGGAAACCCGGGCTTTCCTGGTGGCGCAGTGGTTGAGAGTCCGCCTGCCGATGCAGGGGACAGGGGTTCGTGCCCCAGTCCGGGAAGATCCCACATGCTGCGGAGCGGCTGGGCCCGTGAGCCATGGCCGCTGAGCCTGTGCGTCCGGAGCCTGTGCTCTGCAACGGGAGAGGCCGCAGCAGTGAGAGGCCCGTGTACCGCAAAAAAAAAAAAAAAAAAGTCGGACACCCAAAGGCAGTAGCCTGGATCTTCCTTCCTTCTCTTGTGAAGATGATGGTGTGCCCTGAAGGCAGAAATGCACCTTGTGCTTATGTGTAAAATAGGTTTAAGTTTAATAACCAAGAGTTTGCATACATAACATATTTATATGGCATACTTTTTAGAAATCATCTTGGGGAAAATGAAGGCCAAGTAGAAATTTATGAATTCCTTGCCTTGTATTCTATTCAATTTTTTGTTTTTTTTTTAGCTTAAGAAAATACAAATTTTTTTTACTTTGGGGTAGATGAGGAGTATCAGAAAAAGGAAAAACAATTTTTTTTCCTGGGCCTTTAGATCTCGAGGAATAGCTTCCGACAGGCCTTGGGGACATAGATTTTTGAGCTGTTAAGGCTCTCCCCAGGAGAAGACAGGCCCCTAGGGCTCCATGGAAGCTGACTGGCTGCCAGGCTCAGTGGATGAGAAGCATTTCCTTCAAAAACTGTACCTTGGACCTTTCAGGTGCACAGCCTCCCGAGCTGCCCCACGCTGAAGAGGTTTGCATGGATGATTGAGCAGAGAGCGGTGGACACAGCCTTGTACATCCTGCAAAGGGAAGACAGGTAAGGAGCCTCTTCAGCTGCTGGCATAAAGTCACGCTCGGTCATACCTCCCAGTGTGTGGGGAAGGGGGCTCATCAGGCCTGCTCACACTTGTTAGCTGGCGTCTCTGTGTGCAGAGGCCGAGATCACCCCATTCTCCTGGCCTTCTGAATGGACTCGGCCCTAGGTCCTTACATTTCCAGAGCTGGGACTAGTGACCTAGTGCTTCCATTCACTGTTACACAGACCCGGGAGCCACCACTCGACTGGATTTCTCTTAATCACTGACTTTTTCCTTTGCTTTAAGTTTCAAAAGATTGGGGTGGCGGGGATGCTGAAGGAAGAATCATTATTGCTACTTTATTCATCACATTACAATTTACAAAGCACCTTCCTGTTCTCGCTGTGAGGTGGGTGTCATTATCCCTGACAAGTCCCAAGTCCTCGCTTTAGAGATGGAGAAACTGGACCTGAGAGATGTGGGCTACCTTGCCCAGGCTCAGCTAGCAAGTGGCAGAGGCGGGACTTGAACCCAGATCTTCTGACCACCAGTCCTGTGTTTTCTCTATTTTACTGGTACTTAGGGCTCTGTTTTTAGAAGACATATTTCCTGACTACCAGAATGGGGAATGCCTCTCTTACCAAATTTCAAAAAACACCTTTCTGTGATTGGTTCAAAGCATTCAGCTTGTCCTCAGAATAGGTGACTTGGTAGAGAGGGGAGATGGGAAGTAGAGGAACAGTCCTGGGGAAGATGAGTGGGAGGAAAAAGCAGCTAACATTTCAAGAATTTGCTTGGTCTTGCATAAGCATAGGAGCCTCTGCCTGCTTTTCTCCCACACAGAGTCAGTGTGTCCACTTTGCACTTGCCTCGGGCATCTGAAAGGCTCCAGTCGCGCCACTCAGCTTGCTGCCACTCCCTGTGACTTGTCTCCTTCCTTCATCTTTTCCTGAAGTGGCCCCACTGGACCTAAATTGTCACTCACTGCCTTCCCCTCCACCAACACATACACACATATTTAGTAAATATAGCTTTGCGGCCCGTGTATTGTCCGTTGCATCCGCTCATCTCAGCCCGTGTAGCGTGAAAGCAGCCATAGATCATACGCAAACAAATGGGCACAACTGTGTTCCAATAAAACTCCATTTACAAAAACAGGCAGGTGGGTTGGATTTGGCCCATGGCCATAGTTTGCTTTCTCCTGGTGTAAAGCGTCTCACACAAGACCTGATCCATTCTCCTTTCCGTTAGCCCTGGTTTCATAAAACTGATGTTTCTTCAAGGACAAATGGTTACAACTTCACAGTGCCATCCAACTTGGCTTGGCCTGCACACATTCTTCTGGAAAGCGTATTTGCATACTCCTCAGCTATTGCTTCAACTTTCCTTGATTTATAAAGGTGGCCATTTACCCAGTCACCCTGAGTAAAGATTGGTCTAAGCCAATCATGGCAACCCCGTTTCCTTTTGTCAGTGATTGGGTTCTGGGAATTCTGGAAGAGGTTTTCTTTTCCTCTTTGGTAAAAAGTGTGAGGCACCCAAACCAAGCCTTTTTGCTACTTACTAGCCCCCATCTTTCAGCTTTGTTTGCTACTGTGAGAAGAAGTGCTTTGAGTAGAGGCACCACCTTGTGATCATGAGGTTGACAGTCCTGAGAATGAAAGTGGTGGAGCCACAGTGCCAAGCCTGGGGGCACTAGTGTTGAACTTCTTGTTAAATAAATAAGAAAAGTCCTTATGGTCTAAATTCCAAAGAAGCGTAGGAAGTGTAGTTTAGGCAGTTCCTTTGGATGGCTTTTCTAAAGGCCTTCTGGAATTCCTGGAATTCATTACACCGTGTCCTTCCCAGTTTTGTTCTTTTAACCATGAAGGCCTGGTTCTCCATGACTTATCCTGTCTCAGCTGTGTTCTTACCAGGTCTATATCCTGCTGCTGTTATTGTTGGCAGTCTTTGCGCACAGAGAGCCCTCAGACTTGTGGCAGCGCTGTTTTTCTCCTTACCGCCTGTCACTGTCCCTCATGCATCCCTTGTCTTTTCTCAGCTCTGTCTCATTGGGCTCATGAGGTTCAAGGGGGCAGAACTAGCCTGCATCCCTTGTGTGCCAGGTGCCCGCTGGGTACTTAAATATTGTTTACTCGCCATAGGGAAAGCCTTCAGATGGCAGTGGGCCAATTCCTCCACATTCTGGAAAGCAACCTGCTGAAAGTCGTGGACCCTGCCACCCCGCCCGGCAAGACCAGGTACCTGGCCCAGCAGCTCAGCTTGGTGTGGCTGGGGGCAGTGGGGGTGGGGGTGGGGGCGGGGTGGCGTCTGGCTGCAGGGAGAGAACCCAGGTTCTAGGAGGGCAAGAAGGAGGCTGAAAGTAGATGTTTAAGAGGCCACGTGTCCCAGAGACATTCACAACATTTCTACCTTTCTTCCTGCCACACCTGTCCTACCATGTTCGGAAATTTTATTTTAGTAAAAAAGAACCCTAAATTTATTTTTTTTTTTTAACTAATTGAACATGTGTCCAATGGAGTAGCTAATTAGGACATCACACGGATTCGGTATTATAATAGCCCCAAACACGGATAATTGCTTAATGGATTGTTTGAACACCTTCACTGAGTATACAGGAAGGTAGGATATCTACTGGGCATTTAAAAATGTTGGAAGTGGCTTGTGAACGTCCACTGCCACTTTCGGAGTGCCCGGAACCCCAGGTTAGGGACCATGGATTTGGAATGTTATGTGTCCTGGGCACTTGCTAAGCAAAGTGTGGTCTGCAGATAAACAGCTTCACTGTCACCTGGGGTTGTTAGAGTTTCTGGCCCCAGCCTGACCCACTGAATCAGAATCTGCATTTTAACAAGACACCCAGGTGGTTTGTAAGCACCCTAATATTGGAGAAGGACTGTTGTAGACTGCCTTCTTGAGAGAAAGAATTGTACGTAGTTAGAAATGCGCGATGAGTGTGGGAAAGGTAGGGGACAGTGAGTTGAAATAGGAACATTCAGGAACTTTGGGCCTAGATTTATAATAGCAAATCATGTGAATGACCTTCCCTGTCCTTCACAGACCTGCAATGACAATATATTTCTTACTGACCTTTGCCACCTTGCCCCGCCTCGGCCTTGTGTCTGTAGAGTACTGTAGGGTCCAATGCTAGCCTTCTAGGTTGAGGGTCAACAAATAAAATCCTCAGTGTTTCCCAAGAGACAGATACAGGGTTCAGGTAGATATAGATTAAAAGGCAACTTTATTACTGATTAAAGCCCATTTAGAGAATGTATTGAGGGCCAAACAGGCATATTAATGAAATGGACTTAATTCCCCCAAACTGCAAGCTTCCCTAACAAGGAGAGCTTGCTCTGCTAAACTCATCACACAGCTGAGAGTAGGAAGAACATTTGCTGTAGGCAGGCGGGTCCCGAAGAGAAGAGAGAGGTAGAGCTGTGCCACACATGCCCAGTTTCTTCTTCAGAACTCACCGGGGGAGGAGTAGGTGGTTGGTCGGGCAGGAGGAGGCCCGGAGAGCTACTCCAGTGTGGATCCCTCCTCATGAAAAGGAGGGGCGTGCGGGATGAGGGTTCTCCCCACGACCTACTTCAAAGGAGTTTTTAGTAGGCTCAGCTGATTCGTAGACGTCACCGGTGTCCTCACTTGCGAAGGCAGCAGTGTCCTGGCCTCCAGAGCCCTAAGGTCAAGAATTAATTGTGAAGGGCTGTTTTCTTCTTGCAGAAAGCTGTACCTCTATGCAGCTCATGATGTGACCCTCATGCCTCTCTTAATGGCCCTGGGGATTTTTGACCACAGATGGCCCCCGTTTGCTGTGGACCTGACCATGGAACTCTACCAGCACCGGGAATCTAAGGAATGGTTTGTGCAGCTCTATTACCGTGGGGAGGTAAGAGCTCTGCGGTGGGGTTGGGAGGTGGCTGGGCGACCCCACCCACCTGGTTTAGCACCAAGTCTCCCTCCGCAGGCCCAGGGAGTCTCCACTGGCACCTGAGCTCTCTGAATCCTCTCAAGGCTGTGGCCCAGGGTTAAGGCAGAACTGGGCATATAGTGGCAGGCTGGGACTTGGGCCTTATCCCTTATCTTCTAAGAATAGGACCACCCTTCTCTTCTCCTGAGTGTCTCTGCCAGGATGTAACACCCTGACTGTGAGGCCTGTTTTGAAAATTAATGATGATGTCTTTGGGAGGTGATGTTTACTGTCAGTACTCTCGGTGCCTTGGCTGCTTCAGCAGGTTGCTGTCCAGGGCAGGGGCTAGAGCACTCCCCACGGCTTAGACCTTTAGCCTTCCCAGCTCAGGAGTAAACATGAGTGTGTTTTCCCAGTCAATTCAACCAACAGTTCTTGAGGGACTTTCACAAGCAGGGCATAGTGCTCTTAATCTGGAAGTTGACCAGTTAATGGGACCTTCCTGGCTGTTATATGTGTGTATACACACACCATTGGGTCAAAGCCTTTCAGAACTCCGGGCACAGCTGAAAACAGCCAGACAGGGTCCTCAGTGCCCCTGCTGAGTTCTGTCTCTTCCACAGGAGCAGGTGCCGAAAGGTTGCCCTGACCGGCTGTGTCCACTGGACAAGTTCTTGAACACCATGTCAATTTATACCTTGAGCCCAGAAAAATACCACACACTCTGCTCTGAAGCCCAAGTGATGGGACTTGGAAATAGAGAGTGAGTGATTTGTACAAGTAGGATGTGTTGATTTTTTGAATAAAATGCCTTTATACAATGCCTCCAGCTGTTGTGTTTGGGAAAGGCAGGAACAAGGGTTAAGGTACTTTAACATGAGGGAAGGGTATTTCCCTCCTGTAGGTATATTAGGGTCTCTTCTTGAAAGGAAAAGGCATGTAATGTTGAGACCGGAATGATATATCCTATTTTGTGGCTTGATTTCCATGGCCAGAAGCAGCTTCCTGTGACATAGGCTGGGGACATCATGACCCTGTAGAATTGAGTGTGGGTTTGGACTTCAGTTCTTTTTTCTTATCTTCATTTCACAAACATATATTGAGCACCTACTAAGCAGTGATCATTATAAAGGTGAAAGGTTACTGCCCTCAAGTTGTTTCAGTCCAGTAGGAGAGGCAGATAAGTAAATCAGTGATGACAATACAGTATATTTCATTCTGTGATAAGGTACATCAGGGTCTACTTGGGTACAGAGAAGACACCCCCAGCCCCAGTTGGCAGGGGCTGGGGGGAGCAGTTAAACGCTTCTTGGGAAGTTCTGTCCTGATCTGAATAGAGAAAATGAGGGAGTAGGAGTTAACCAGGTAAGCAAGAAGGAAGTGGTGTTATGTAAAAGGCAGGCTTGAAGGTCAGGGCACGTTGCTGGGCAATGAGGTGCAGCCCTGCTGTGGGGACCTGGCAGGAAGGGCACTGGCTTCTGGTGGCTGGAGCTCCAGGAGCGTGGATGAAGGCTCGCTTGGCGGGTCGGGACCACTCTTAGCATAAGTCCTCCACCTTGACCTGGGTCCCCAAGGTTACCTGGTGATCCCCCTATTTCCTTATCAATTTTCTCATTCTTCCCCAGAATCTATTTCAAACTTTCTCTGATCTCAAGCCACCAACACCTTTACTTCTCAGAGAAAATAGCAAGCACAAAAACCCCTCTGCTTCCCATCTTTATGTTGTTGACTCCCAGATCTACTTCTCTAGTTCAAATTTTTTCTCCCGAGCTTCAGACACTTATGTCCACTTGGATGTCCCACAGACACAAAATTTTCCCTCTCTCCTCCGAGATCTGCTCTTCCTACAGCCTTCCCTATTTGAATGGAAGACGCCTCCACCATCCACTCAGATACTAAACCAGAAATCTATCCTTGTCTCCTTCCTCTCACACTTTTTTATGTCTAATCAGTTAAGTTCTATCAGTCCTACCTGTTTATTTCTTGAATATACTCATATCTTTTTTCCTCGATCTTCAATATCCCCTCACCCTACTAATTGCTCTATTTCTTATTTCACTAAGAAAGTAAAAGCAATCGGAAGAGAACTTCCATATCCATCACGCCACCCCCAACCTGCTAACCCAGCTGCATTGGTGCCTATAAGGCCCTCCTTCCTGTTACTAAGAATGAACCATCCCTACTCCTATCCAAGGCCAACCCTCCAGCTTTGCAGTAATTCCTCCAATTATTTTTTTCCTCTATTGTTAATTTTCTCTTCCTACCATTTATTCCCATTAGCTTACACATATGCTGTAAAATCTCCTGTCTTAAGTTTTCCCACATCTTTGAACTACTATGCTCTTTTCTTCTTCCCTTTGTAGCAAAACTGCTCAAAAGTGTTGTTCATACTTGCCGTCTCTGATGCTTCCCTTCCCCTTCTCTCTTGAACCAACTGTGATTTGGCATTCACCCCTCCCACTCCATGGAAACAGCTTTGTCAACATCATCAGTGACCTCTGGGTGCTAAATCCGTAGCCAGCTTTCAGTCTTTGTACTCAGCTTCTCATCGGCACTCTTGGAATATTTTCTTCATTTGGCTTCCTTGACAAATACTCTCTTGGTTTTCCTCATTTCTCAAATTCTCAGTTTTTGCTGAATCTACCTTTTAAAAATCTCTAAGTGTTGGAGTATCTCGAGGCTTAGTCCTTGGACCTTTTCTCCTACACTTACCCCCCTAGGTGATCTCAAGCAGTTCCATAATTTAAAATATTATTTACATAATGTCTCCTAAATTCATACCTTCAACCTGGACCTTTCCCCTGAATTCTGGTTCCATTTCCAACTGTCTACTCAACATCTCTGCGTGGGTATTTAAGCTATTTAATATGTATTGAACTTCCCATTGTCCATGCTAAACTCTCAGTTCTCATGCCTCTTCGACTTCTCCCACACGCTTCTCCCTTGAGGTAAATGGCACCACCATTAACCCAGCCGGTTGGGCCAAGAACTTTGGGGTTACCCTTAACTCCTCTCTTTTTCTCCTGTACTACATCTAATCCGTCAGTTAATCCTATTGCACCTCTCTTCAAACTTTATCCAGAATTGACCACTTCTCGAGACTTCCATTGCTACTATTTTCATCCCAGCATCACCTCTCACCTGGATTATTGCAAAGTCTCCTGTTTCTGCCCTTTCCCTCTCTGCTAACTTATCCTCAACACAGGTGTTGCTTTTAAAATACGAGTCAGATCATGTCACTCTTCTGCTCAAAATTCTCCCCGGGCTTCCCATCTCAAAGCGAGAGCCAGTCATAATGGTCGTCAAGGCTTTTATGTGACTTCTCTCCTACCTGTCTCTTCTTACTTCACGCCGGCTGCACTAGCCGCCTTACCGTTCTCGTCTGCCAAGGAGCCCCAAGTCGCGTCCTCACCTCAAGCTCTTTGCACAAGCTCTTCCCCTCTCTGCAATGCTCTCCTAGACATGGGCATGGGTAGCGCCCTTTCTTCATTCCGATCTCAGCTCACTGTCATCTCAGGGAGGCCCTTCCCTGTTGTCCTACATAAGATATTTCATATCCACCCCCTCACTCTACCTCCAGCCTAGTTACACTCTATCACCTTGTGTTATGGGTGGAATTACGTCCCTTCAAAATTCACATTTTGGAGTCCTAACCCCCAGTACCTCAAATGTGACTATATTTGGAATAGAGTCTTTAAAGAGGTAGTTAAGGTAAAAAGAGGTCATATGGGCTTCCCTGGTGGCGCAGTGGTTAAGAATCCGCCTGCCAATGCAGGGGACATGGGTTCCAGCCCTGGTCCAGGAAGATCCCACGTGCCGTGAAGCAGCTTAGCCCATGCACCACAACTACTGAGCCTGCACTCTAGAGCCCGTGCAGCACAACTACTGAGCCCACGCATCACAACTACTGAAGCCCGCGCACCTAGAGCCCATGCTCCGCAACAAGAGAAGCCACTGCAATGAGAAGCCCGTGCACCGCAACGAAGAGTAGCCCCCACTCACTGCAACTAGTGAAAGCCCGCGCACAGCAGCAAAGACCCAATGCAGCCAAAAATAAATAAATAAAGTAATTAATTTTTAAAAACCATATTTCTCGACTTAAAAAGAAAAAAAGAGGTCATATGAGTGGGCCCTAATCCAATATGACTGGGTAAAGAAGAGAACATTAGGACTCTGACACAGAAGGAAGACCATGTGAAGACACAGGGAGAAGATGGGCATCTGTAAGCCAAGGAGAGAGGCCTTAGCAGAAACCAACCCTGCTGACACCATGATCTTGGACTTCCAGCCTCCAGAACTGTGAGGAAATAGATTTCTGTTGTTTAAGCTACCTGATCTGTAATATTCTGTTACAGTAGCCCAAGCAAATCCAGGATCCACCTTGTCCTGTCTGTTTTCCCCTGTGGTATTTCTCAGTGCTTGATATTACACATCTGTGTATTTATTTATCTCCCTGATGAGAACGTAAACTCCACGAAGGCAGACTTTACCTTGTTCACCGATGTGTCCCCAGCACTGAGAATAATGCCTGCCATGCACTAGTGTTCACACATTTGTTGAGTGAGTGAGCACCTCTGACGCTGCTCTCCTGGGCCCATAATCATCCTCCCAGGTTACTCAGTGCCTTCCTAACGGGTCACTCCCTTTCTTGTGCTCCGTTACCCTTTGAGACGTGGCCCCTGCTTATATCTCCAGCCTCGTCCCTCACACCCCCTCATGCATCGCCCCCCGGCCAGACTGAACTCTTTCAAGAACAGTTAGTCCCGCTCCTCTGGCTCTTGTGACACACTGTTTCCTCCCCTGGCCCCCGACACACCCTCCCTTTGCCCATGTATCCCTCTCATCTTTTTTTTTTTTTTTTTTTTTTTAAATTAAGCAATTTTTTTTAAGGAGAGAGAGAGAGACATTTATCTTAAGAAGTTGGCTCACACAATCCTGGGGACCAGCAAGTCTTTAGGAAGTAGGCTCAGGTAAGAGATGGTGTTGCCATCTTGAGTCTGATGGTTGGAAACTCAGGCAGGGTTTCTACATTGCTGTCTTGAGAATTCCTTCTTCTTCTTCTTCTTCTTTTTTTGGCCGTGCCTTGTGGCATGTGGGATCTTAGTTCCCTGATCAGGGATCAAACCCGTACCCCCTGCATTGGAAGTGTGGAGTCTTAACCACAGGACCACCAGGGAAGTCCCTATCCCTCTCATCTTGATGCCTCCCGTGTTTCTGTTTGTCCCTCAGTAGGGGGCTGCCTGTCTTGTCCATTATTGTGTTCCTAGAGCCAAGCACAAGACGTGGCACAAAGTGGACTTCAGCCAAGATCTACTGAATGGATTCTGACCTCTCCCTCTCCTTGTTTCCGCTTTGCACAAAGGGGCTTCTATGTACTCTTCCCCACTCACCACCAGGGGGAAGCATGGAGTAAAGAAAACACGCGGCTTCTACTGGGTTCAAATTCTGAAGCTAGTATTTGTGACCCTTGGACAGGTGTCTCTGAGCCTGTTTTTCCTCTCATGTAAAACAGAGATAATTATACCTACTAATTAGGGTTGTTGTGAGAATTGAGTAAATATAAGGGCGTTCAAACTTTCCTTTTTGCCCTTTGGCTATTTCTTCCCCACTAGATTCTTAGCTGTAACAGGTTTCCTCAACTAGTAGGAAACTGGGATTGTTCTTTCCAGCCACCCTCTCCGTAGGCAGTGCCTGCCCTTACGGAGAAGAGTGAGCCTGTGTGTGCGGGAGAACTCTGGCCCCTCGCCCACCAGTTGTGCAGCTGTGGGCAAGTCATTTAACTTCTCAGAGCTTATGCTTTCCCAACTATAAAACAGTGATGTTGCTATTTGCCTCCCTGACGATTTGTTCTGAGGATGGATGTGCAAAGCACTTCATAAACTCCTAACCAGCCCTTGCCCTTGACTCCTTTCTCTTAATGCTTTTGAAAATGAGTGTTGTTAAGGTTAAAATAATTTCCAGAGGGGATCTCATCCTTGGATGGCAAAGTAAAGGGCCTCCCAGGATAGAGGAGAGCGGTCACTCCTCTTCCCCCACATAACCGGGCTTGCTCGGGTAGGCTGATTTCATGGGGAACTCACCTGCCAAACCCTCCTGAGGGCCTCATGGCTTATCTTACTCAAGAGCTCTTGGTCTGGTACGCAGTGGGATGAAATAGCTGTTAGTAGACAGGGCCAGGCATTGCTCTGTGCTGGCACCCCTTTAATAGTTGCATGTAGACAGTTTAAAAGAACAGCAAGGACATCAAAACTCTGAAAGTTCCACCTGGAGAGAGGGAGGAAGAAAGAGTTCCCATCCCACCCCACCCCCAGGCCTCAGAGCACTGGGTCTTGGCATGGTGACCTGTTTGTATTTATTATAAGAAACTTGGGTCTTTGTAAGTGATACCTGGCACCCCTTTTCCTTAGCTGGACTCCTCTAGGGCACTGCCCATGTACCTGCGAAGGAGGCTGGGAGGGGCTAAGAGCAACTACTTTGTTTACTATATGCCAGGGACGTATCATTCTTCAGCTTTGGGGCCAAGAGCTGTGGTTCGCTGTGTACCCTGGGTCTGCTAGGGCAAGTGTGAGTCCCTTTGGCTGGCTGGAGAATTGTCTGGGGAGAGGCTGTGTGCTCTGTTCAGACCCTGACTTCTAGTGGCCAAGGGGACCAGCCATGCAGTCCTGACCCTCTCAGTCCACCCCGCCAGCCTCTAGGAACCTGGTCCCTGTCCAAGGGTGAGTGGAGAGAGGGGAGAAACACTTTCCCCAATAAAAAGCTGGTCTTCCCTGAGCGCCTTTCTCTCCACCTGGCTTTTGAAATGCACACTTCCCTGAAGGTGGGAGGTGGTGGAAGAGGGCTGGTGGCATGGAATCTCCATTTCTGAAGCAAAAATCCAAACTAATGTGTAAGGACTTGAGAGAGAACTGGTCTTGGAGTCACGAGCTGTGAGTTCAAGTCCTACCTCTGTATGTACTTCCTGTGTGACCTTGGACATTCTGTTAACTTTCCATTAACAAGCCTGCATATCCTCGTTTGTATGGTGGGACTCAAATATAGCGCCTCCCTCACAGAACTATCCCAGGGGCCACATATGTAAAGCACTTCATAATGTAAAAAGTGTTATAAAAACGTGAGGCATTGCTCAAATTATTGCCAGAAAAGCCTCTTTGTGGCTCCTTCTGAGTGTTCCTCAGGCAGCCGTGGCGGTGGGCGCCCCATCCTAGATGGCCTGCCATTGGGGGTTAAGATCCTGGTGACTGTTTTAGAGGCACTTAAGCCACTTGTGGGATGGTAAGAGAGCACCCACCTTGGAGTGAAGAACCAGGGACTTGAATTCCACCTTTACCACTTTCCCGTGCTCTGTGACCGTGGGCCACTCACGTAACATGGCCAAGTCTCTCTTTATCTGTATATTGTGACCGTGGGCCACTCACGTAATGGCCAAGCCTCTCTTTATCTGTATATTGAGGATGATGATACTCTCTGCACGTTGGAGAGGGAAAGTGGTGGAGAGTGTAAAACAAAATCACTATATAAAAGGGTCTGGAACGTGGTAGCTTCTTAAGTACAAACTTTGAATCTGCATCTTCATGTACTTGGGGCTTAGAGAAACTACAATTCAGCAGCTTGTTACATGCCCTGAAGTTTTGAGTTGCTCCTTGTGGTGTAGGGATGTTTAGAGAGTGCAGGCATGTGCTTTGAAATCAAAAGTAGGGCCTAGGTAAACCAGTAAAGGAAGTGTGCTGCGGGGTAGGTCTGTTTATATAGGTTGGAAAGCAGGGCATTTTCCCCTGAGGCAGGTTTTCCACGGAGGAAAATCTGGATTCAAGAGAGATTAAAAGTGTCAAAGGTAAAGGAAAGATGTAAGAAAATGGCCTGTACTGAATCACTGCAAAGGACAGTATTCATCAGAGAATTAATTTGGAAGGAAATAGAGTGTGAAATAGCAGCAAGGCTTTCAACTCTGGCCTTAGAAATCCAGTCAGTGCTTCAGAGGCTTGCCAAGGCCCAGCCTGGGAGCTACCTCCAGAAAAGCAGCCAGGGGATGCCCAGAGACCACAAATTGCTGAGATCGGGAGGAACTGATTGAGTGTGTAATTAAGGGGAGGGTTGTATAACACTTGGGTAAGTAGAACTTGATGGGGTCAAACCAGCAGGGCTTCTGGGAGATGAGAGAGCAGTCCCTGGAGCTGCTAGTAATGGAAGCCAGATGCATCATGTTAGACACAGCTTACCTGGGCCTGTGGGGAGAAGGATGGAAGAGATCAGGAAGGAGAAAGGTTGAAAGAGTGATTGCTCCCTAGATCAAAGTGTCCCCAGATGCTTAACACCCTAGTGGTTCAGTTCTAGGTGTAAGGTGGCATTCTGGAGCAATGGGCAAAATCCCCAGAAACTGAAGATCAGAGAGGCTGTGACTTGGCCAAGATCACATAGCACGATGCAGATGTAATGGATGCTGAATCTTGACTGTGGGTCCAGAGTGTGTCTTGGTACACACCAGTGATGGTGACAGCTAGAAGGGAACTGTCAGAATGTAAAGGGGGCATCTTTGATCACGTGTGGGGATTAGGAATGGAAATCATTCACGTTATATTTGTGGAAAAAATGATCATGTGTAGGCTGAATACTGAAGCAATTAGGCATATTTATGAACGCTTGAGTTCCTATAGCTATATCCCTAGCATTCCCCTAGTACAAGAGGCCCCTCATGATAGGCCCTCTGCCCACCTCTCCTACCTCTTGCTCTTCCCTCAGTTCTTGAGACGTTGGCTCCCTCTTGTCATTCAGACCTCAGCTTAAATGCGACTTTTTTGTATGAGAATATTTCCTTATGCGTTTATGTGTATGTTTAATTTAGTGTTTATTTTTGCAGAGACACAATAGAAACTCAGTGGTTAAACAGACAGGCTCTGGAGCCAGACAGCCTAGGCTGATGCTCCATCCGTTAGGATCTGTGTGATCTTGAGCACGTGTCTTAACTCCTCTGTGCCTCAGAACACTTAATCTATAAAATGGGAATAATGACAGTACTGTATTTACTTCATAAGATTTTGTGAAGAATAAACATGTAAAGTGTTTAGAAAAATACCTGGCACATAGGAAATGCTCGATAAATGTTAGTTATTATTAGTAGTAGTATTAGCATTATCCTGTCTCTCCCTCTATAATCAGCAGGAACCTTGTCTGGTTTGTTCACTGCTGTGTGTTTCTCCAGCACATAGATCATGACCTGGCGCATGCAGCCTCAACACATATTAATTGAGTGAATTTTCTGAATTAATAAAGTAACTAAATCAGTGGTCAATCATTCTTCAGGGAGAGGTTTCATGTTGTACAGTAGGCCTCTGCCCTTTTGGACATGTTTTTCAATAGTTTGCGTAAAAATATAACTGAATAAACATAGAGTGCAGGCTAGTCACATTTACTAAGTGCATAAAACTGGGAGGAACAGCTTATTGAATGAATGAATGAATGAGAGTGAATAAATGATAAGTATGTTAGATATGTCCATGTTGATATCTTTCTTTTGTTCCTGGGCCAAATATTACAAGATGTAACTTACTAGGGATAAATACAGAGTTCTTGATCTCACAATCAGTTGCCCGCAACAGTATAGGGGTTGTAGTGAGCAATTTGTTCAGTGTGAATCAATAATATGACGTGTTCCTCAAAATTCTAAGTGTGCTGTGTCTGCACTGGTCCCTGAAATGAAGGAGGTGATGGCCCTGTTTTGTCCTGTGCAGCCCGGAGCACACCCAGAGAGCTGTGCTCAGATCTGAGAGCCAGACTTGGTAGCAGAGACAGACAAACATGTCAACTGGAAAAGGACCATCAAGGGGGAGGAATGGAGATGCTGAGGGCACATCGAAGATTTTTTTATGTGGATCCCAAGGACCACACTCAGACCGGTATGTAAGCTATAGGGACATATAGACTTTAGATCAATATAAGGATAGTCGATGAAATAATCAGAGCTGCCATGCATGAACTGGGCTGTCACTGGAGGATTTTGAGCTTACACTGGCATTTTGCCAGACTATGGAAAAGGGTCGCACACCAGCCAGGTGGTGGAATAAATGGCCTTTAAAGTCTCTACCCACCCTGAGAATCCGTGCTCCTATGATTCCACAGCATCCTTCATTCCCGGTGAACAGTCTGAGTCAGAGGCAGGCCTCGTTTTGTTTTTCATGTGGTCAAGGATGGGGTTTGGTCCTCTAATTTGATGATTCTGAACTTTAAAGAAGAGGGGAGTGCTTGAGAATCTGGTGACCTCAGTATAACCCTGTTAAAAGTGTTGCTACCATCACCTTGGGCCGGTTGGGCTTTGAGACTCCAGGGAATAGTGGCCCTTGAAATAGTACCTTCTTGCTACTGCTCCCACCATCCCATCTCAGAATTTACACTCTGGTGCTTCTTTCTCTAAGGTTTTTCTGTGCTGCCTTTCAGTGCCCAGGAGAGCAGCAAGAGGGCTCCCTGGGTCTCTCTTCTGAACAAAGAAACACAATTTCCAGCTCCAGCTAGAACCTTCCTACTGCCCAGCCAGCACACATCTTGTGAACTTTTGAATTTACTCACTAGCGCAGCCATTTCAGATCTTCTCTTTTTGCATTGTGAGCCCCGGGATGAATCTCAAAAATGCTTTGATAACTCAGCTTGTACAAGGCATATGCATGTATGTTACCTGATATCCGTCTCATAAAAACTGTGACATCCAAATGTAAAGCTGCTGGCTCCGAGGGAACAAAGCTCTGAGGGATCAAAGTCAGTGTTCCAGGGAGAGGCAGAGGCAGGACTCAGAGTCCCACCTTGGACCTTGAGTTCAGCTTGGTTTTCTCCCCATATCCCCATACCTGTCCTCTGGGATGTGGCTTTCCTTTTGCTTTGCCTCCTTCACCACATGTGGTACCTTCTTCTTTTCACTTTCCAGTATCTTCCAAAGCTTACATCCACCTGTGCTCTGGTTCCTTTTCTGCTTCTTGTGATCTTCCTGCCAAGGATGGTAGGAGTACTCTTGCATCCTCAATCCCTCCCACTCAATTGGTTCCTTCCTTTCTGTCTTAAAGTAGTAATATTTCCATTGTCTTAAACTTTATTTCTAGCTATCATCTTATTTCTCTTGCCTAGTACTGCCAAACCTACTGAGTGTATTATAACTCATTATATCTGTCTCCTTGTCTCTTTCACACTCAAACCCACCCTTTTCCCTGATACTTACCCTTGCAATCTGGCTTCCTTTTTTTTTTTTTTTTTTGCTTTATCAAAACTGTACTCTGGAAGACCAAAGCATCATTTAATCAATTTTGAGGCCCATCCTTAGTGCCCTCTCATTCTTCAATTCCTCTGTACCATTTGGCCCTGTGGACCATCTCCTATTTCTTGAAAACCACTTTCCCACCCTCTCAGGACTTATACAACTCTATACATTTGTCGCTATTCCACTGACTGATTCTTTTTTATCTGGACAACCATTTCCTCATCAGTTACACGAGAGAGGTGGGCTAGATCATTTCTAAGCTTTCTTCCTATTCTATGAATTTCAGTTTCTTTGGTTGAAACTTCTCCCCGCTTCTGACTGTGCCAATCCTTCATGACTTAGTTCTTGGCCTTCCATGTGACTCTCTTTTCTCCCACTTCCATGGACAGATAATCTATACTCATCTCCATGTGGAAAAATTCACATCTCCATAACCAATCCAAACCTCTCATCCCCCTGCCTTTACTTCCAGCTGTGCACACATAGATGCCACTCACTTCACAATCACTCACTTCATACTCAGCACTTCCTCAACCCCCAACAAGCACTTGTCCCCAACTCCCCCAATTTTTATCCGTGATACCCGAGGCTTGGGTAAGGTGGGGTGAGGAGGGGAAACTAACTGCTTTTAAACTATATTCTGAGAATATAATAATAAAGTAAAATATAGGCCCAAGTATCTGGGGGAAAAGATTTAATAAAGGAGAGAGACAAAATGAAATCACTTAACTCCAAATTCTCCTCTCTGTGCTATAAAGGGAACCAATCTTCAAGCCAAAAATGGCCAAGCAAACATGGTTAGGAGGGATCAAAACCTTAAAGAGGTGAGCACATAACACCGGGTTGCTTTTAATGACTTCAGATCTTCATATCCAGTGAATAATACCCTGAGGTAGATAAAGAAGTTATAAATGTTACTTCAGAGAATTATCTATGAGAAATTAAGATATTTTCAGATTTTGAGTCTCAGAGAGCCAAAAATACAAAGGCAAATGTGGTCCTAGTTTTTTTAAACCCGTGAAATGTTAGATTCCAGAATCTGAAGACCAAGAGCTCCTTGGCCCCCGGTAGAGCCTAGAGTGGACTCTGAAACTAATAGAAGTCTGTGAGCACTTAGAGAAGAAAGCAATAATTACCATTCGGAGTCAGTAGTTAGCTAAAGTATTTTTTTGTTTGGGTTAATAGACCAATAAGTCAAAGACTCCCAAGAAATTGATAAAATCTTTTTGTTTAGTTTATGTTTCTCAGTCTTACATGTTGGCAGTTTCCTTTTCTTTCATGTCATACCTGTGCTTGTAATCACCTGTTCAGTGTCTGGCTTCTTCAATCAATAGGCTATGAGCTTGGTGAGGGCAGGGTGGGACCATTCCTGACCACTTCACTGCTGTATCCATAATTCTTAGCTTTGTAGGTACCGATTAAAAGAATAGATAAAAGGATTAATTTCTTAATGGGTAGGTGGAAAATGTAAACTGGATGATAATAGATTTATAAGTGATTGCAAAAGTATACTTAAAATATTAATGAATTACTGAATTGATGCCAATGTAAAGATTAGCTCTAACTATAAAACTCTTGGGAGAAAACAGGAGGAAGGCTTCATGACATTGGATTTGGCAATGATTTCTTGGATATGACACCAAAAGCACATGAAAGAAAAAAAGTGGATAAGTTGGACATCATCAAAATTTTAAAAGTTTGTGCTTCAAAGGACACTATCAACAGTGAAAAGGTAGCCCATGGAATGGGAGATACAAATCATGTATCTGATAAGGAATTGATACCCAGAATATATAAAGAACTCCTACAACTCAACAGACACAAACAACCCAAGTCAAAAAAGGGCAAAGGTGACCATATGTGTGTGTGTTTATCTCTTAGCTTTCTATCCTGTTCCATTGATCTATATTTTTGTTTTTGTGTCAGTACCATACTCTCTTGATTACTGTAGCTTTGTAGTATAGTCTGAAATCAGGGAGCCTGATTCCTCCAGCTCCATTTTTCTTTCTCAAGATTGCTTTGGCTATTCCGGGTCTTTTGTGTTTCCATACAAATTGTGAAACTTTTTGTTCCAGTTCTGTGAAAAATGCCATTGGTGATTTGATAGGGATTGCACTGAATCTGTAGATTGTTTTGGGTAGTATAGTCATTTTCACAATGTTGATTCTTCCAATCCAAGAACATGGTGTTTCTCTCCATCTGTTTGTATCATCTTTAATTTCTTTCATCAGTGTCTTACAGTTTTCTGTATACAGGTCTTTTGCCTCCTTAGGTAGGTTTATTCCTAGGTATTTTATTCTTTTTGTTGCAATGGTAAATCAGAGTGTTTCCTTAATTTCTCTTTCAGATTTTTCATCATTAATGTATAGGAATGCAAGAGATTTCTGTGCATTAATTTTGTATCCTGCTACTTTACCAAATTCATTGATTAGCTCTAGAGTCATGTACCACAATGTTCATTGCAGCTCTGTTTACAATAGCCAGGATATGGAAGCATTCTAAGTGCCCATCGACAGATGAATGGATAAAGAAGATGTGGCACATATATACAATGGAATATTACTCAGCCATAAAAAGAAATGCAATTGAGTTATTTGTAGTGAGGTGGATGGACCTAGAGACTGTCATACAGAGTGAAATAAGTCAGAAAGAGAAAAATAAATACCGTATGCTAACACATATGTATGGAATCTAAAAAAAAAAAAAGGTTCTGAAGAACCTAGCGGCAGGACAGGAATAAAGACGCAGACATAGAGAATGGACTTGAGGACACGGGGAGGGGGAAGGGTAAGCTGGGACGAAGTGAGAGAGTGGCATGGACTTATACACACTACCAAATGTAAAATAGATAGCTAGTGGGAAGCAGCCGCTTAGCACAGGGAGATCAGCTTGGAGCTTTGTGACCACCTAGAGGGGTGGGATAGGGAGGGTGGGAGGGAGACGCAAGAGGGAGGAGATATGGGGATATATGTATATATATAGCTGATTTACTTTGTTATAAAGCAGAATCTAACACACCATTGTAAAGCAATTATACTCCAGTAAAGATGTTAAAAGAAAAAAAAGGGCAAAGGACTTGAATAGACATTTCTCTAAAGAAGATATACAGATGGCCCATAAGCACGTGAAACAATGTTCAGCATTACTAGTCATCAGGACAATGTAAACCCAAACCACTTCACACCCATTAGGATGGCTATTATTAAACAAACAAACAAACAAACAAACAGAAAATAACAAGTGTTGGCAAGGATGCAGAGAAATTGGAAGCCTTGTACATTCCTGGTGGGAATGCAAAATGGGTATAGCCACTGTGGAAAACTGGCAATTCCTCAAAAAAATCAAGCTTAGAATTACCATATGATCCAGCAATTCTACTTCTGTAAGTTAATGAAGTTGACTTACATTAAAGATTAACTAAAGGGCTTCCCTGGTGGCGCAGTGATTGAGAGTCCGCCTGCCGATGCAGGAAACACGGGTTCGTGCCCCGGTCCAGGAAGATCCCACATGCCGCGGAGCGGCTGGTCTCGTGAGCCATGGCCGCTGAGCCTGCGTGCCCAGAGCCTGTGCTTTGCAACGGGAGAAGCCACAACAGTGAGAGGCCCGCATACCGCAAAAAAAAAAAAATTATTTAAAGAAAAAAAAGTTAAAGCAGGGACTCAAACAGATATTTGTATACCCACGTTTATAGCAGTATTATTCACAACAGCCAAAAGATGGAAGTAACCCAAGTGTCCATTTCCAAAAGAGGAATGGATTAAAAAAAATGGGATATATACACACAATGGATATTACTCAGTGCTAAAAAGGAGGGAAATTCTCATACATGCTATAACACGGATGAACCTTGAAGAAATTATGCTAAGTGAAATAAGCCAGTCACAAAAGGACAAATACTATATGATAATTCCACTTATTCAAGGCACCTCGAGCAGTCAGATTCATAGAGACAGAGAGTAGAATGCTGGGTGCCAGGGGCTGGAGGGAGGAGGAAACAGGGAGTTACTGTTAATGGGCACAGAGTTTCAGTTTTGCAAGATGAAGAGTCCTGGAGAGGGATGGTGGTGATGGTTGAACCACAATGATATACTTACTACCACGGAATTGTACACTTAAAAATGGTTAAAATGGGGGCTTCCCTGGTGGCGCAGTGGTTGAGAATCTGCCTGCTAATGCAGGGGACACGGGTTCGAGCCCTGGTCTGGGAGGATCCCACATGCCGCGGAGCGACTAGGCCCGTGAGCCACAACTACTGAGCCTGCGCGTCTGGAGCCTGTGCTCCACAACAAGAGAGGCCGCGACAGTGAGAGGCCCGTGCACCGCGATGAAGAGTGGCCCCCCGCTTGCCACAACTAGAGAAAGCCCTCGCACAGAAACGAAGACGCAACACTGCAAAAATAAATTAATTAATTAATAAACTCCTACCCCCAACATCTTCTTTAAAAAAAAAAAAAATGGTAAATTTTATGTTAGTTCATTTTTAGCACAATAAAAAGAAATAGGTGGAAAAAAAAGAGTAATTGTGAACTTCAGGACTTTATTCTGGGCCCTTTCATCACTTGGAGAGAACCAAAACAAACAATGTTAGAACAATTTTCTAAGGACTTTAAGATTCTGGAACAATGGATTAAAATTAATATTGAAATTAAGGAGGAATAACTGTAAAATTCTGAATGCAGAATATAAATAAGCAAAATTGATACAGGATTAGGGCAATGACTTATTTTACATGAAAAAGATCTTGGCGTTTTCATTTCCTAAAATTCCAAAGTAACCCCACAGCAGAAATATATATTTTTTTAAAGATCACTTTCCCCTATTTGTAGAACCGTGTTCAGGTAAAAGGAGGTAACGGTCTCACTGTGCTCAGTGCTGATCAGACAAGACTGGGGCACCGCTCTCTTCAGTTCTCGGTATTGTACTTTCAAGGAGTTTATAAGCTGTAATAAAGCAGGATAAAACTGTGAGAACTGTTAGGGAACTCAAAACCAGACCTCACGGTTCTTGGTTGATGAATAAGGGGATTTAGCCTGGGAAAAAGAAAATTAAGAGGGACAGAATAATTGTTTTCAACTACCTGAAAGGCTGGCCTGTGAAATAAGGACTGTCTTTATTCTGTATTTACTCTTAAGAGCAGAATTGGGATAGACAGAAAGCTAAAAGAAGGCTGATTCTTCGTGTGGCAGAATTTTCTAAATATTAGAACTGATGACATTCAGTAGAATGGCCTCCCGGTACTGGGTGGCCACCTGTCAGGAACGCTGTAGGGCAGTAGGTGGGTCCTTTCCGACACCATGATTCTAGCTTCCTTTCATTTTCTCAGTCTTGGCATTGTTTGACTCCTCCTTCTTCTTTCCCCCAATATATAATGATGTTTTCAGGGCTCTTCCTTCACAGCCCTCTTGGCTTTACCCTTTACTCTTCACTGCCATTGCCAGCAGCCTTACTTCCTCATCCCTGGATGACTTGTGCGTGCTGCCAGTCAGCTCTTCCAGCTTTGGGGCTGCTTGCTTCAATCCATTCTGCATGCCCCTGCCAGACTCATTTTATAAAATATTTACCATGTAATTCCCCTGATCAAGACCAAAGAGTGGTTTCCCACTGCCTCCCACGTCAAAATGAAATTTCTTTTCTTGCCTTTTGGGGCCATTCTTCTTTCCCTGTCTTTTCCATCTCACATTCTATTACTCAAATGATCTATTTTGGTTAAGCTGTTCGCTTCAATGTCAACTAGCCTGATTGTCTTCACCGGTTCATTCCCACTCCATTCCCTCATGTGTGCTGTCCTTCTGTGTATCCCCCGCCCCCCCCCACCCCCGCTTTATTATAGAGACCACCTCAAGTACCACAGCCATACAAAATCTTTCCTGGCCACCCAAACTCACGCTGATCCTTCCTTTCTTTCATTCACCGAATAAATATTTACTGATTGCTCTTAGAATGCAGGTACTATGCTAGATGCTCGTGAACAAGTGATGAGCAAGAAAAATTCGGTTCCTGACTTCATGGAGTGGGTGAGATAGAATAAACAATTGCTGTAGAGGACACAAATAGGATGTTGTGCTACAAAATGATGATGTGTATATGTGTGTGTGTGCGTGTGCGCACTGAGGATGGGTGGATGTTTTGATGGGGTAATCAGAAAAGGCCTTTCTGAGGAGGTAACAATTAAGCTGAGACCTGAAGGATGTGAAGGTGTCAGTTCTATTTTACAGCCATTGCTAGTATATATCTCTTCAATTAGATGTAGGCTCCTTGTAGGCAGCTGTTATACTTTCCTTTTACTCCACTGTGCCCAGCACAGTGCAGGATCTAAGATAAATGCCCAGTGTTTCTTATAAGGCCCTTGCTGAAACCATGGATTCTGTTATATAATGCTAAAGACCATTTCTTTCCTGGGCCAAGTGACGCCTAGTTCATACTTTGTATGGATGTGATCCTTGTATTTCCTTATTGGTATTATTACACTTTTAAATAATAATGATTATATTTTAAAGGCCTTGCAGACACTAAGTATAATAGGAATGAAGAGGATTGTAGGAATTCTCTAGCTTCATTGACAAGGAAAAGACAAACTAATCTTTATGACAGTGTATTGACATTTCAAAACTAGCATTTAATTATTTACATACTGTAGTATACTAAAAGTACATATACATTTGTATAAATAAATCTGTGTGTGTGTATAAAATTTTTTAATAGCTCAACTACTGACAGCTGTAACAGAGAACTTCACCAAAGCCTTGGAAGAACTTTTGCAGTTTGGAGAACAAAATAAATCACAGTAATCCATGATTCCCTGTAACCAAATACACTTTGAGTGAAGGCAATGGTGATGACTCAGTGTCTAGCAAGGTGCTGGGCCCGGCTGGACTGCATTTGATGCTGGGAACTGAGCCGCCAGAGGCCAGAGCTCCAGAGATCTTAAAGCCCAGCCGAAAGCACATGCTTAGATCAGACTGATTCATGGGGAAGGGCGAGAGTTTCCAGGAAAAGAAACTCTCGGTGGAGCTGTGGGGTTTCTATGTGGGAAGCGGAGAAAATGAAAGCTCCTGAAAGCTTGGCAAAGACTGAGAAATAAATACAGGCTCCCAGGAGTCTTCAACGGAAGAAACTTAGGCTGTGACCAAAAAAAAAAAAAAAAAAAAATTTTTTTGAAAAGTTAAATCCACCCTCAACACTAATTAACTGGACACTGAATACCACTGAGATTTCTAAGTCCTTTTTGCCTTTGACCCTAGCTCCAGCCACAGGAGAAAGAAAGAGGGAGTCTAGCACAGAGCTGTGGGCAGGTTGTACAGTATGAAGAGCCACACATCAAACCAGTCCAGTCCTGTCCCCCTCTCCCCGTCATGGGGAAGACCTGCACTTTCCTAAGGCTGGGTTTTTTGTTTTTGTTTTTTTTTAACCTGTTATTTGGAACCCTGGGGTCCCTCATAATTGCTTCAGGCTCTGAGGGGGGATTTTGCAAGGGAAGCCTGAGTTCTTGTATGTTTGGTGAAATAACTGAATTTTTAAATACGTGTGAGGAACTCATTTCTGAACCTTCTCTTTATCTTCTTTCTGTGATCATATACTCACCTTCTTCCTCTGGCAGTATTGGTTGCCAAGCACAACTAAGTACTGAGCCAGAAAGTTAACAGTTGAAGTGTGGTTACCTATAGGCAGAAAACAGATCGGGTCTGTTACAGTAACCCAGATAAGGAGCCATGTGAGGGAGAGAGAGAGAGAGAGAGAGAGAGAGAGAGAAAGAGAGAGAGAGAGAGAGAGAGAGAGGCTTTTTTAATTTACACAATCCTCATAGCATACCTTCTTTTTAATCTAGTTTATGATTTAACTCCCTCCAATATAAAATATTGGGCCACAAACCGGCTTCTGGGCTCTATAAACTGTTTGCTTTAAATGTGTCATTAAAATTTTACCACCAAATTAAGATTCCTTGACTTTTCTTAAATATAAGTGTTTGTGATTTTGAAAAACATGACTGGCCTGGGTTAGAGAAAAGAAAGTGACAGTAGGCTCAACTTATTTAAGCAGCAGAAGAAATATGATGCAATTTGATGTTTTTTAAAGCAAAAGAGATGAGTCTGTGAGTTTAAAGATTTCGTAGAATAAGCAAGTTTTTGCATGTGATCTTCCTGTGGTTCTCTCACCCCTCCCCCAGCCTATCCTCCACACCCCAGGGCAGTAATCTCTCTGCAGAGCCCATCTCATCACCAGATTCCCGTGCTTAAAACTTGGAAGTTCAAACTCCTCAGCGGGCCACCCCAGGTTCTCCCGTGGCCTGTTCTCTTTCTGGGCTAATTTCTTCTCTCCACCCCCTTTGAAGAGCCCAGCTGGCTGCAACAAGCAGGCCTTTGCTGCCCCCACTTCCTGTTTAAAAGCCTACCACCACCCTCCACCAGGAAGTACTCCCTCCTTCAAGAGTAAACTCAAAACCACCTTTCGTGGAGTCTTCACTGTACCTTCTTCTCTGGCCCGTGGCACTCCGTCCGCACCTTCACTATGGCAATGCACGGAATGGTCAATTCACACACGCACTTCCCGGTCCCAGCCTTAGCACAGTTCTTAACACACACTAGGCACTCTCTAAATGGTTGCTGGTTGCTGAATAAATGAGTCTTTGGGTTAAATACAGCTTTCCTCTCCTCTCAGCACTTTAAAAGTAGTCAGAAAAGGAAAAGGAAGTGACTAAAGTGTAGACAGTTTAAACGGAACACAGTACCCACCCTGTCTAGGGTACTCCCGACCACTGGGAAGGAGAAAGCAAGAATAAAGATAGAGACCAGGATCCCAGCTCTGCTGTGGAGCTGCTGGAATTTCTCACAACAGCCAGGACCGGCTACTTCATCTGTGGGGCTCAGTACAAAATGGACATGTGGAGGCCCTGTTCGAAGATTATTAAGAATTTCAACATGTGGCAGCAGGGCATTAAACCAAGCCGGGCCTTGTGCAGCTGCACAGGTCGCATGGCCAGGAAGCTGCCCTGATGACAGAAGTTGCATCACGATCACAGTATCAAGAAGTACAGGAGAGCAGGGAGGCTGGGAGAAATTTTGGATCAATTTTTTGGATCATAGCTTTAAAATATGTAAAATTGTTTTAAAACTTATTTTCTCTTGCCCCAACCCCCTCATAAGGCCTCTTCAGTTATGTTTGCTTGTTTTCATTTATAAGTGCAGATCCTTTAAAAAAGTAATTTTATTTCACATTGTTTTAGGGAAAATACCACATATGCTTCATTAGTCCTTAAGAAATAATGCTATGATCCACACCTCACCACTTACCCCAGAAATGAAGTTACACATCATTATTGTATCTCCTTCATTTAATCCCAAAATTTTGACAGGGGCAGGAGTGGGAGAGACTGCCTTGGCTTTCACGGGATTATGTTAACATGAAACGTCTTTATCACCCCTTCGCTGATTTTTTTAAAAATCTTGCATCATTAGTTCTCCATGCAAAAGCATCCAGCCTCTCAAATGTGATTTTATTTCATAGCAGGAGTGGCAAATTAGAAATTGTTACATTTAAACCCCAAATGAACTTGGTTTATCAGATGTCATCATGATGAAATGTATAAGCTGATAATGTAAGTGAATGAAGATTTACGAAGGGGTCTTTTCAAAACCCAGCTCCTTTGAAACGGGTAAGTTGGTCTGCACTGCTGCAAGTTCTCCAGCAGGGGGCAGCGCGGAGTGCCACATCCCCAGCCTCTCCCAGCAAGGGTCCACAAGACTCCTGCCTGCCTTTGGCTCCCTCCTTGGGACAGACGCAAAGGGACCACACAGCATTAGTGACCACAGCACTATGAGATGCAGCAGGAAGTGGGGCTGCCCACGAAGCCGGACCAGTGGACAAACGCCAGGTCCCAGCCTTCCTTTCAGGGCTCTCATCTCATGCTCCCCATGCCTAGCTGTTTCCCTGTTCTCTTCTATTACTTCAAAGCCAGAGAACCTAGGAACAGGGCTAAATTCATGAAACAAAATGCTCGTTGTACTCTCCTCATTTCTCCACAAGGTAAAATTTTCACCGCCCAGGACCCTCTGTAAAGATCTGACTGTGTCAGAATTCTTAAACCAGTGAGCCCAGTTTTCTCAACTGCAAATGAGATGATTACGACCTACTTCCTAGGGCCCCTCAAGAATTTGCAAGGGAACGCAAGTAGAGTGGACGTGACTGGTAGAGGAGGTGCTCAAATTAAATCTCACTTTTGTGGTCCGGGGCTCTTGTGTTACTGAGAAAATAGTGCTGCTGAAGGTGGAAGAGAAAATGACTCTCAGAACACTCTCGGGGAGAGAGAGAAACATTCACAGGTAAAACTCAGACTGTGGAACACCAGCAGAGCCCAATCTGTACAAGCCTGTCTGCAGACGACTCTGCACCTGCTGCTCCTCGCTTAGATTCTCTCACCTGAGAACAAACACGCACACAGATGCCCACTTGCTTAGCTAAAGACGCCTACAACTCAAATACACACACCACAACAAACCTAACTGTACAGAAACACAAACAGCTGGTCCCTTAGAGGCATACCTTGCGGGACACACGCTGACGTGCCGAAGGTGTGTGCGTGGAAGTGAACTGTGTAGACTGAGCAGGGCCTGCAGAGGGGACGCGGACAGGCAGCAAGGTGGGGAAGCAGAACGGACGACAGAGACCCACGATTGCGGGTGCAGTAAGAATGCTTCACCTTGACAAGCTCCAGGGACATTTCATGGCTTCTCAAATAACTAAAAATATACCTTTGGCCTCTTAATTACTTCACACCATTACATTGGCTCTCACAAAAATTCCCAGTAAAGACCATGAATTGCCTCTAGAGGTGGGGCATGGGGACCAGGGCTGCTCTTCTGCCTATAGCTAGGGTTTCCTGATTGGGACAGAAACAGCACAGGATCAGTCTACACGAGTAGTTACTCCTCAACAGCAAGCAATACGCTTCATCTGCAAAAGCACTTTTATGTACTTCCCCTAACCTTCACCCAGATCAACTCCGATACAAAGCTACTATGCTTCTGGGTCACATGGCAACTAATAAGCCCAATACTGAACAAACAGGAATCCAAATGGACAAAAAAGGCAATTCAGTTTTGTAAGAAACAATATATTTTATTTTTCTGACACCACAGCTCTGGTGAGTGGTTTTGTACCAAATTTAATGGAGGTTACACAGAACGTTTGACGCATGGGACGGGGAGGAAAGGGAAGGAAACACAAAATTAAAAACAAAAACAAAATCTTGGATAGCTTTTAGCATCTGTTCCACTCCCACATTAATAAAATTCACTTGGGAATTCCTAATAAAAGGAGAACAGAAAACAAGGTGGGCAGGGAAGGGGTAGGTTGGGGAAGAAAAGACGAAGGGCAAAGAAGACCATTGAGCATCCCAAAGACAGACCTTTCCCTCCCAGAGCCGGGACAACGCTCGGCATGGAAGGCGAGGCTTCGTTAGATTTATTTCCCCAAAATAACACCGTGTATTGCAGCTGCCAAAGGGAAAAAGAGAGGAGGGAAGCAGGGGGTCACCAGTGGGGGACACAACAGGAGGAAACTCACTTAACCAAGAAGATAGGGAAGGAGAGAGGAGGGAAAACAAGAGAAAAATGTGAAGGTGGGTCTTCAGATTGGGAGAGACAGACAGTGCTGAAGAGCACTTGAACTGAAAAACAAATGTCCTAAGCATCATTATTTTTAAAAAGAAAAATCTCCCCCCTCCCCCCACCCCTCGCTGAACTTAGTTCCTCTTTTTGTGCTTTTCATTAATACTCTGCTCTGAGGTCGTAGTTTGGTTTTTCTATACACTGGAGTTGAAAGAAAATAGTCCAAAGGTCTGAAGATGGATTCTCCACCTAAAGTAAACAGCCCAGCATTCCTGTTCTCTTGTCCCAAAGACTAAAGTCTCTGCTAAAATCCCTTTTACAATATAGTACAGTACACACAAAAAAAATAAAGCCCAAAGCAAAAACAAAACCAGAAAAGAATCCTGGGAGAAGCCAGTCCAAAGGACGTAAACATACAGAGAATGGTGCAACACATGACCCATGGCAATTCTCAAAGCACGGCTACAGATTCCCAAAAGTAGGTGCCATCATGGGATACCCAAGTCCACAAAAATAATTTTTAAAAAATAAATCTTAAAAAAAACACACCTGTTGATTAAATGAATAATTTGTTTTCAGATAAATCCATACATTCTCGAGTTCCCCCCTCCCCCAAAGCAGCCCTTGGGTCTCTGTTCTCCTATTGCATGACCAACAGTACTCCTGGAACTCCCTCAAAGCAGCTCTCAGGACCTGGAATCTCATCTTGACAAGGATCGGCACATCCAATCTTAGCAGCTTAAAACATCATGTTTCCTGGGTTGCCAGGTCCTTGGCTAAATCCACCCATGCCCACGTCAGCGGCCATGCTCCGGGGCCTCATCTGTGGGGGGATCATGATGTTCTGTTGGGGTCCCATCATGCCCTGCATGGACATCATCATGCCTGGAGAGCCCACAGGCCCAGGGTGGGTGTAGAGCCCGGCAGGCCCTCGATCCTTGCCAGGAATCATGCCCACGGCAGCAGCTGGATTGCTCATCAGGGTGGGCTGGCCGGGCATTGTAGATTGTGCTGGTGACATCATCCGATGGTGAGGTCCCATCATGCCTTGCTGGAGAAAGGCTGGTGGTCTCATTGGGTTGTGGCCTGGCATGGATGGAGCTGTACCAAGAGGGATGTCCGGAGTTCCCACTGGCCCTGGACCTCCCATGCCAGGTAATGCTAGTCCCATTCTGGGGGCTTGTTCGCCCATCATCCCCTGCATGTGCGAAAACCCAGGTCCAGGACCCTGGGGCTGTTTACGGCCTGGGACTTCCCCTCGAGGGAAATATTGCAGTGTCTGGCTAGGCTTCTCAGATGGAATAATGCGAGACAGATCAAACTCAGGTATTCCGGTGGCTCCAGGTCGGATGACCTCCTGTAGATCTGGGTCTGTAAACACTGAAGGCATGCTGTTCCCCAGGACAGCGAAGGAGTCAGGACCCCCTGGGCCTCCAGGCTTGCAAAGTGCTGCATCTGCTGAACTTTGGGGCAGGTTGCTGGGGCGGCCAAGGGGCCCTTCTCCTGGGAAACCCATCCCTCCTGGGAAGTTGCCCTGCCCCCCACTGGGGCCATTGTGAGGAAATGGAACCTGCTGTGGAGGAGATTGAACTGGAGGGAAGCCCTGGGGGAAACCCATCCGTCCTTGAGGTACCATCGGAGGCTCCTGGGACCCATGCCCCATGATAGGATTGTGTGACATCAAGCCAGGCCCCATCGGGACCCCATGAGGAGGTATGGTGGGTCCCATGGCATTCGGAGAGGGCATCTGATTGGAGTGAGAAAGTGGCTGGGTCATTCCCATTGGGCTGAGGGTTGGCATTGGAACCACGGGGTTTGGACCTGAAATTCGAGGATTCTGTGTATTAATGCCCAGTCCTAGAAAAATAAAGATATCAAAGGAATCAACTTAACCGAAAGCAACTCAGGAAAACTATCATAAATCAAATTAACAAACTATTGTGCATCAAGTGTGCACGGTACTGTGCTGGGGAAACATACAACGCACAATCTCTGCCCTCAATCAGATTATAAT